ATTGTAGTTTCGACATTGGGTAGTTAGATACTATCTTTTTGTAATGATGGAAGCAAGGATGGAAGGTTGTACTTATATAGTTTTGAACTGACACGACATCGGTAAAATGTCCACGTTGGAGACTGGGCATGACAAGCATATTATTGTATCCTACTGCGGCACAGTTCTGCACTTGTCCTACGTGTTTTCGTCCTACGTGTTCCGTAGCCTCTCCTCTAATGCCAGACGTAGTATTTGTCAATGTTGGGTTGGAGCCCCAAGTCCAAACCGGACCATTGTCACGCAAGCCCAGAAAGGCCTTGGGGTTGGGACCCAATGTTAGGGTTAATCAATGGTCTCGGAGTTTCCCGACTGACTTTCCCGGCAGCCGCTCTATCGCGAGCTCGAGTCCTTAGTTTTGTTTATTTGTTCAGTCCCATCAATGATCACATCATAGGATTTGTCATACCGCTAATAGTATGTAGAGGCTCATCGAGCGATACGAGTGGCTGCTTTTAGGAGCCTGGTATCACCCCTCAACGCTTCAAGTCCATCCTTCCGTTGTGTACGCAATGACCATGTAACCTCAATTATAATACCCACCGCTGGGGTCCTCTCCACTGACGGCCTCGTGTGGCCTCGTAGAGGACGCAGGCCATCAGTTGATGCTTGCCATGCACATCAGAGTCATGGTGCAGCCTGAACACAGAAGGCCGTGCCTCTTGCCTGTGTAGTCAGTGCATTCCAATTAAGACCACATAGGGTGACAGCCGCCCTATGTGGAGGAGACGAAATGCGGGTATGTTGCCAGGAAGGCCACACACGCTCAGCGGCCAGCCTGCCCACTAGTCCCTCGCTCTTGGCATTTCAGAGTACAGCACATACCTGTAATTATAATTATCATAGGCAAATAATACACGCTCTCAGCTTGAGCACCAGTCGGGTGATGTGCTGCTACATACAAATTCACTCCCGTTTCGGCAGTGAGTGAGCCGCGCGTCGGACATCAAATATCTTGATTGTGGGCTATTGACAACACCCCAGGTTTCTGCCCAACCAATTCAGAAACCACAGGGTTTCACGTGGAAAGGAGGGTTTCTGGATAGATTTATCCGCCGCAAGCAGTCAATTGACGCCACATCCGGAAAGCTGCTCGATGCTCTACCGCTCACTAGCCAGGACCTGGCCTAAGGCGTTTCAAAAATGTTAATATCGACCAAAGGTGAGCTATAACTTTAGCTGCATACAACCCAAATCTTCTCTTTGCGCCATGACGCTCGATGGCAACTCGATGGACAATCGTCTGAGACGTAGATGTTGATGTGCTGGAAGGCAAGCTGAAAGTTTAGCTGCACAATGGAATAGACCATTATACTTACATCGTCTCTGCAGGCAATTTCCCGGGACGGTTTCGTGGTGAACAAATCGTTGGGGCACTCTGTCGATCGATCGAAGGTAGGTAACTTTAGCGGATCAATCTACTCAGAAACCCCCTTTCCGGCAGAAACCCTAGGATTTCTCATGGTCAGGTAGAACCCCCCCATTACTAACTGAAAGAAGTATTTATAGAAACCCTACGTCGGAGATGATGGAAAAATCGGACTTTAAATTTCAGGTATGACATAATCGAGTTCAAGCGACGCGTCATGGTCTTCCAACTCAATAGAGGAGATATATGGAAAAGAGTCACATGCAAACCTTGGACCATTCGGGAGGGATCTAGCCACTTGATGAGACAATTATTGCGAGGGTTTTTGCCATAGTCAAGGGCAGTGGATGGGATCAATGAGTTGCACTGTACACTCCCAAAGGGATGTCGGAACCGATCGGACCTCAAATATTTTGACCATCGGCAATCAGTGATTTGCTTGTGGTTCCCAGGTTTCTGAAGTGGTTGGATAGAAACCTTAGGGTTTCACGCGGAAAGGGGGGTTTCTGGATAGTTTAATCCAACTTTAGCTGCATTATCAGCACGGACCGTTTCATTATCCTTTCTGTAGGTTATGGCATGATGTATGACCCCCGATGTTTACCGACCCTAGATGGTTTCGAAATGTCGTGCTCAACAGGTCGTTGAATGAGTGGAGCTTTCAACACCGTTTGGAGGCGGCCTGTACCTTCGTCCGAGGGAGGAACAGATCATTTGCAGGTTACCGTATGACGCCCCATGTCCACGCGCCCAAGATAGTTCCGGAATATCGTGTGCAACGAACTGTTTGAGCGAATCGAGCCATTGATGTCGATTATGGGTAAGTGTAACTTTTAGCTGTATAACGGAACGGACCATCTCACATTCTCTCTGCAGTTTGACACATGATGCGTGACAGCCGATGTCGACGTGCGCCGACCTAAAACTAGACCCGAACCCAACGCCTTGTTAGCAAATCGCGATGTAATATTTTCATGCATTTCGGTCGTTCTGTTTCGGGCAGGTGCGTTGAGGCTAGCCCAAGACGCTTTCGGAGGTTCGCATTCAAAAGAAACGTTGAAGCAAGAAAGGTTGTTGACGAACACCATTGACGAACTGTGAGTCGTAAATTAAGCTGTATAACGGAAACGGACAATCTTACGTTCTTCCTCTTTG